TGAAGGACTCAAAAATTAAAAAACTCAAACTTTTTTTATATAAAAAATGCATAATTTGAAAGTTGCACAAACATCTCTTATGCCTAATTATTTATTAATTCATACACACTTATATTCTATTTTATTGTAATTTTTCATATATATGAGGTAGAGTGGGGGAATTCTATCTCATATCTTTGTCTCTCTGTTTTATGAGGTAGAGCGGGGAATTCTCTCTCATATCAGGGCCAAGTTGAAATTTGAAATACATTGCATTGGATTTATAAAGGATTGACGATTAAAAGACTATGTTAATAATCCCTATGTTATAAATTATAAGTCGTTTTGCCTTTCTTAATTAGGAAATTAAAATTCTAACTACCTTTGCCTCAAACTCATGGGCCGTACTCATACGATTTATAAATAGCATATATCCAACCAACAAACGTAGTCTTATTCTAAAGTGTATTAGAACAAATAATACAAGATATAAATTCTGTTATAACGTACGGACATATTTGCTAGTAAAATAAAAAGACTCCAAGCGTGGGTGACCGGCATACAGTTCAGCTCGGTGACGTCTACCGCCTCGCACCATGTTCGGCTGGGGCTGGCTGGCTGGCTGGGCTGACCAGCCCTCTCACATGGACACTATTCCAATAAAACAGCCAACAGTACTTCTTTCTCACATAAATAAACCAACAACTATACGAACCAGCCAATCGAACGTACTGTCAGTCGGTGAGTTGCCCGGTTTCCTCCGTCCCCCAGCTTCATACGTCCGCGCGCTTTATACCCATCCGACGAGTTCTTCCACTAACTCACCCGAACATCTCCATCTACGATGACTACGCAGTCGCAAACCTCGTCCACACCTCCACCTTGGCATCAGAGCGGACGATCGCGCAATAGCAACTTGATCCCGCAGACCACCGCCGGCACGTTCCTTGGCGGATCGATCAGCGTCCAGCAACGGCGGCTGCCACCCCGCCCCGATAGAGCGAGCCATCCGTCTTCAAAGTTGAGGATGAGGTTGTTGTAAAAAAAAAAAAAGTTGAGGATGAGGAGCATGATGGATGGCCGCGCGCGCGTTGTCTGCCAATTAATCCACGCGTCCTCGTCGCCTCGTCTTGTGACCGTTTCAGCAATCGCTCCGCCGTAAGCAAAGCGTGATCGGTATTCACCAGACAGCCACTGCAACCCTCGTCGATCAGTATCTGGCTGCCTCCGTCCAAAACTTCAGTTCCGGCACACAACACATCCATTCAGACCCATGTTATCTGTAACCATTTCAATCATTCAGATCCATGCAAATGACTTTCAGTTAGATTGAAATTTTCACAAGTAGAAAGAGCTAGAATTCAGATCCATGTAACATAGTGCTTAGGATGACTTTCAAACCTTGTTTGGCTTTGTGAGCGTGAGCACTAAACTATTAAGGGATATGAAATTAGAATACTCTAGATACATGTGAACACATGCCATTCAGGGGAGGACAACGCCAGTAATGAAAATTCTTTAGCAACAAGTGCTATAATACTGACCAACCATTGTTTGTATAGGACATTTCTAAACCTCTGTTAGAGTGCGCAGCGAAATCTGGCCCAGCTCACTATACCCACGAACCAACGTCCCTCGGGACCAGGTCCAACAAAGCCCACAACATATCCCGGCCTTAGGCCTAACTCAACCCAAAAAACTAGCCTGATAGGTGAGGGTTGTCCTGCCTTATAATGTTGTGCCCCCCACCATCAATTACCGATGTGGGACTAAACCTAACAATCTTCCCCGTCACACATTGGACCCAACTCTTCACATCACACAACTGAAAGGTCATTGTTTGGTTTTGGTAATTGAGTGACAACCTTATGTGGACTAATATGTGTTTGAGTGAGATACACATGTGATTAGTCCATAAGTACATGTGTGTGAGCAACATATGCCATGACGGTGAAGATGGCTCGAAGATGTTGCAAAGCTCACACATGTGATGATGAAGGAGCTCATTGCACATGAGACATGACATCGAGTCATGTGATCAAGGTGGAGAAGATCAAGATATGACTTGGCTCAATAGACCGGTTGCAAGTGTGAAGGGCAAGTTGAGTGATGACTTGGCGCCGATGGACCGAAGCAACGGTGAAGAGCAAGTGAAGTCAAGATCGATGAACCAATATGGTCACGTGATGATATGGAGTGGATCATATCATTGTCGATCATATTGGTGCATGTGTTGCATCAACATCAGAGGAGTTGGAAAGGAATGCGCAAGGCAAAGGTATAACCTAGGGCATTTTATTTCACCGGTCATAGATGTGTAGAGAAGTTGATGACCGGATTTAGGATAGATGGCCGTACTATCAAGAGGGGCAAACTAGTTTGCATATCGGTCATCTAGTGCCACTCGAGTGATCTAACTTTGTATCGTTGCTAGGATCGAGTGGCGTAGCAAGTTGAGTAGCTAACTCCTTACAAATGATTGTGAAAATGCTAACACACATACACATGGTGATATACACTTGCTGGTGTTGGCACATTTACAAAGGAGAAGAAGTTGGTGAAGAAAAGGAGTTGAAAGCGCTGGTCACAGGTTGACCGGACGCGTCCGACACTGAGACCGGACGCGTCCGGGGCTCTGGTGGTGGAGTGACCAGACGCTGGGTCACTTTGTGACCTGACGCGCAGGCGGTGAGTCCGGTCGTGTCTGACGATAGATGACGTGAGCAGTTTCGTGAGCGCAGCTAGGATCTGACGTGGTGGCATGTCCGGTCGCGTGCACCTGACGCGTCAGGTCACGAAAGTCCCGCTCGGGGAGCTTACTGAAAATGACCAGACGCGCGACGGCGCAGCGTCAGGTGTTCTAGCGGCACGTCCGATCAGGAGTTGGCTGCACGCGCAGGGGCAATCTGACGTGGATCGGGTGCGTCAGGTCGTGGGCTTGGCGCGTCCGGTCGTCTTTGACTATTGGCGCGTGAAGTTACCGTTGAAGATCGGGCGGCTCCGGTTGAACGCAAAGCAACACGTGGACGGTCGGGAGTGACCGGACGCTAGCTAGGTGCGTCCAGTCATTATGACCGGCGCGTTCGGTCGTGTCGAAAAACGCCCAGTGAAGGGGTAACGGCTATTTTAGCCCTTGAGATTATAAATAGAGCACTTGGTCGGCCTTGGGCTGGCAACTGAGCATCCTTGAGCCTCGGTGGCTTGTGTAGGTGTGCTTGGAAGCCCTCTAACTCACTTTTGCTTGACAGTGTTCATCCGATTGAGTGAGTGAGCGATTCTAGTGTGATTGCATCGTGAGATTGCATCATGTGGCACTAGGTGATCGAGTTATAAGTCGGTGGTGTTTGTTACTCTTGGAGGCTGCGACCTCCTAGATGGCTTGGTGGCTTGTGACTCCTTTGAAGCACGTGAGAAGATTGTGCGGTGCTGCGTAGGAGGATTTATGAGGGGGATTGTGCTCACTCCGCAGGGATCGCGAAGAGCAACTCTAGTTGAGCGTGTCATTGAGCTACTCTCACTTTCGAGGTAGGTTCTTACGGTGCCCGACGTGCGAGCTTAGCGGGTGATGCCAATTAGCCGCCGAACCACCAAGTGAGCGGTCGACACAACGGGGACGTAGCTTGGTGGCAACCAAGTGAACCTCGAGAGAAAATCATCGTGTCAACATTGTCTTCTTCATCTTCTCGGGGGTTTGCTTTCCGTGAAACACAAGCTTGTATTACTTTCACTTACATTGTGCTTTTGTAGTTACTCTTGTGGCTAGCTTAGCTTTAGTAGCTTGCTAGTTGCCTTCTTGCTTATGTGTCATAGAAGTAGTTCTCTTGAGTGACTAATTTGGTTCTAGTAACCTTGCTAGTCACATTGTTTAGTTTGTGTAGTTAAGTAATTTGCGTTTTCTAATTTGGCTTGTGTAGCCTTGTTATTGAGCATTGCTAGTGAGCTTAGGGGCTTTGTGCTTTTGCTTCACTAGTTGTGTAGGAGCTCCCTCGGTTGTGTAAAGTATTAGTGCATAGGTTTATGTGACCTTGTTCTAGAATTGATTAGGTGAGCTCTAGCTAGTCCGGCATCTTTGTGGACTAATTAGAATCTTTTTAAGGTGCTTGTGAACTTAGATAGATGGGTGTAGTCTTGGCTAGACCGATAGTTTTAGTTCCGTATTTGTTTCGCTTAGCCGACGCGATTAATTTTAAAAATGACTATTCACCTCCTCTCTATTCTGCCATCTCGACCCTACAACAACCCCGTGTGATCTCCGGAAGACGTTATCCACGCCCCCCGAGTCAAACGCTCATATCACACACAACCCGTGTGACCTCCGAGACGTTAACAGGCTCCCCCGTCACCATGTGACCCGTGAGATTTTTTAGGGTTTTTTCGACCATGGGCTTCGATACCATTTGTTAGAGTGCGCAGCGGAATCTGGCCCAGCTCGCTATTCCCATGAGCCGGTGCCCCTCGGGCCCAGGTCCAACAGAGCCCACAACATATATAGGCGTTAAGCCTAATTCAACCTAAAAGACTGGCCTGATAGGTGAGGGCTGCCCCCGTCTTATAATGTTGTGCTCCCCCACCATCAATTACCGATTTGAGACTAAACCTAACAATCTCAAACCAACTTGAGGCATTCCCTTATCACTAGTCATGAAAGAATCTGCACACATATGTTTCATAAAGAATAAAGTTGGTCATGGGAATGGAAACTTCATAAAATGGCAGATGAGTGGCCACAACTCCAGCACAACTTGTGCTGCGCAAGGCTGCCTCCCTTGAACCCTCAAGCCCCTGTCCTACATCCAGCGACGGAGCTTGCATGAATGTGTAGGGGGGGCAATTCAAAGGTACACTGCTACAGTATTTACCAATAGTAGTACAGACAATTAGAATTCTGTAGAAAATCTTTGTTTTTTCAAGTTTTATCTATATATACTGCAATGAACAATTGAAATCCTGTCAAAGAAGAATAAACAATGTACAAATTTATATACTTGTAAGCTGTAATCCACTAATCAGCAACAGCAAACATGGTACAAGAGATACAGAAATTAATTACATACATACAGCAACATGCAAACCTGTAGAGTGCAGCCGGAGCAAGGAGGCCAGGACCCAGTTTGCCCCCACGTAGCTCCGTCCGTGCCTACGTCCTTCCGCTCATCGACCACCATGACTCCAGCAATGTCTGGACTACTAGCTAACACACACACACACACACACACACACACACATATATATATATATATATATATATATATATATATATATATGGGGGAAGAGAGGCAAGTATGATTGCTTATTAGCTACTTGCACACAAACTGGAAACGGACTAATCAACTTGTGTGTGTGCATGGATATGACACACGGGAGCTCTTCTTTTGTAGCTGCTCGGTCAGTGAGATGCCAAAGAAGCCCCATCCTTGCTAATAACCGAGAACATTGAAAATTTTGGTCTAGCCTTGCTCAGGAATATTAAGTACTATACATGCTGAGCATTATGTTATAGGCAGTTCTTAATTATGTTTCTATTTTGTTCTTCTTGGTTCTTTAATTTCTTAGAGCTTAATTATTTCTTACCGTAGGTAGACACTTAGGGATTAGAAGCAATGTTTAAAATCGCCGGCTAAAGCATTTAGCAGCAAGTAGCCATCGATTAGAAGCAGCCGGCGATTTTTCATATAAAATTAAGGGGAACTGCAGACAAGTACATAGAAAACACTTGAGGGGTGAGAACGTCCCGAATCTTGGAAGAATGTTCTCTAACCTTGCTGCCTCAAACCAAACACTCGTAAAAATATGATCGTCCAATTCTTGACCCAAATGTCAGCTAAGAAGATGGGATACGATCAGTATCTCCAGACCTAGACAACCAACACAATCATATACAGGGTGAGCCCTTTAGGTCACTTTGGAATGCAGTAATTTTCTTTTCTGGATCTTATATTTTTCATATAAAATTAAGCTAATTTATGTGAAATTACTTCGCTATTTTTTCTACAAAATTTCTGTGTTCCAAAGAGTGCGGAGACAATATTGGGCCTAAACTGACGGCGCGGGCGAGACGGCCCAACTTTTTCATCTAGTCGGTGAAGTACAAAACCCGCCCCACGTCTGGTTCTTGCTGGTTTCATTTCAATCTTCCCCACCCGCTGAATTTTTGTTGCGATCCGTAGCAATCCCCGTCTCGCTCGCAGAATCCGTTTCTCAAATCCAGCAGAGAAGTCAGTCGATGGGATCGGCGACGGGCACCTGCTAGATCGCGCGCCTGCCGGAGGACCTCCTCTCGGCGGCGCTCGCCCTCACCACGCCGCGGGACGCCTGCCGCGCCGTCGCGGTCTCCCGCGCCTTCCGCGACGCCGCTGGATCCGATGCCGTGTGGGCCCGTTTCGTCCCACGGGACCTCCCGCCGATCGCTGCCGGGGAGCTTGCGGGCCCCGCGCCGCCGTCCAAGAAGGAGTGGTTCCTTCGCCTCTCCGACCGCCGTTGCCCCCTCTTACTCGCCGATGGCCTCAGGATACAGCCGGTTCCCAAAAATCCTCTGCTCGCCTATGGCCTCAAGGTACGGCCCGGCCCTCGACAGGCCACATGTAGCAGTAGGGTTTCCTTCTCTTGTAATCTAGTTCTTCAATTGATCATCTGATCGGCTAACCGGCCTGTTGTTGTGTCCAGAGCATGTGGTTGGACAGGGGGAGCGGCGCCAAGTGCTACATGCTGCTAGCGAGGGGCCTGCACATCTCGTGGGGCGACACGCCGTGCTACTGGCGCTGGACCAATCTCCCCGACTCCAGGTTCGCATGGCACAACCAATTTCTTCTGTATCTTGATTCCAATTCTCACGCGAATTGTTCGAGCATATATATGTCATGTGGCGAATGCCATTGCATTGTACTGCAAATTCACCCTGTTGCTGTTGGTGGTTTTGGCTTGCAATTTGGATTAGAGACTTGTTGTGAGGTAAAGTGCTAATTGTTTTCGAGGATTTAGAAAAAAATTCAAGTTCTAGGGCATGGGGCTTTTACAGATCTAGATAGAAAAATCTGATTATGAAAAGGTTGGCCTCATAGCTATGTATTGACTGGGTAGCAGTCTGTTCTTACTTCTTAGCAGCAGCAGCATGGATGGTGCATAGGCCCGGCAACTTAGTGTCCAGGGTTCAGGATTTATCCCAAGTTTTGCATATGCACCATCCTTGTTATATAATTGTACTTGATTATCAATCATCTTATATCGATTGCTCTTTCTTTGAAACTTAGTCCTTTGTTAATCTGGCACAGGTTCGAAGTTGCTGTACTCCTGTCTGTTTGCTGGTTCGAAATACGTGGCAAGATACACAGCAAAATGCTTTCTCGAGACACAGCTTATGCAGTTTACATTGTGTTCAAGATACCCGTTGGATCCTATGGGCTGGATTATCCACCCCATAAGGCATCAATTGACACGGTTGCAGGAAAGAAAATAATTCGCAAAGTCTGCCTCCAAAGCTATGAAGCTAGGCATGTGAACCGTCAGGTCACAGTGCCCTTCTTGACGCCAGAATACAACAAGAGCTACCGGCTTGGGCATGGTAGAAACCCGGTGCTCCCTCAGGAAAGGACTGATGGTTGGATGGAGTTGGAGATGGGCGTGTTCTACAACAAGGAAGGTGATGATGGCGAGGTGCGCTTTAGCCTCCTGCAGACATCACGTACTTCGAAGGAGGGTCTTATTGTTCAGGGCATTGAGATTAGACCCAAGAAACTAGGCTAACGATTTGTAGGTGTAAGAGCCATCTTGTGGGAATAAATAAATGGACAGAAGAAAGCATGTAATCAGTACTCAGTGTTCACCATATGGCTATATGGTATTGATTGTATCATCTTCATCTAACCATACACATATTATGCGGTTTAAGGATTCAATACTGTGGCACACTAACTATAGCTTGATCTTTGATCTGTTTGTTGCAAAGATCGTAGCTCTTCCTTGTTTTTTTTACGACACATATAGATAATTCAAATTTAGAGCTGTAAAAAAAAAAGATAAGTGACGTGTATCAGAGACTGAGCATGCCATTGCATTTCCTACTTTGTGGTTGTGGCTGCTGTTGCTGTGTTGCATCATGTTTGCTGCTACCGGTTAGAAAGAAAGAAAACTGAACATGTGTGCATATTGCAATACATCTCAGAGCTTGTGGTGGTACCGTGATAGTGATATTTGCCGGAGCTAAGGCCGTTTTTTCATCAAGGTGAGACCGTTTGTTTCATCAAGCAAGTGTTTCAGAGTTTGTGGGAAAACGAGAATAAAACACATATATGCTCTTATCATCGAAATCCTAGGGAGAGTAGCATCGTGGCAGATTGCCTACTAGAGCCCTCCGGCCTCCCCCCTGGCCAGCCTATAGAACCTACAGCCTACAGGCTTCGAGTTCCCCGATGCCCATGCATGGTCGACACACTGAGGCCAAACAGGAGAAGCCATCTCTAAATTCCTCAATGTATTTCTTCCTCAAGCAAAGACCAGATGGTTAAGATTCACATGTAGTGCAGTGAGCTGTCGTCCTTGCATCACAAAATGCCGAAGTTAAAGGCTGGTAATAAGCTGGCGCTGTCACTGGCATAGTACAAATGGTGTGTATTTCTCTCTACATGGAAAATTGTAAACGCATTATGCATTACGCAAGATTTCTAGTGGCTTGGTCGATTTGGAAACACAGGTGGCGTTGCCTCTTTACTGGCACCAACCCTCTTCAATCGATGATACTCTCATATGGACATCTGTCCTTATCGGATTTTTTTTTAATTTTAACACTTTTTGAAAACTAATTTTAAATCTAACACTGTCGGGTTTTTTTTAAAACTAACACTTTTGGCCGCGCCTATTGCTTTGGCGCGGCCAAATGCCTGTGCCGCGCTATGCATGGTGGCGCGGCAGCGGGCTGACGTGGCGACGACCAGATTTGCTGACTGCTGATGTGTCGGGGCCTGCCGCGCTACCGATCCGTGGCGCGGCAGAGCCGAATATAACCTCGCATGCCATCCCTGCTTGCTCGAAAGCAAAGAACCCCACACATTATTGCACCATGCATTGCCCACCGCCAAGCCCTGCCCGCTGCCCTGCCTGGTGCCGAAAGACGCCGGCCACGCCAAGACATACCGCGGCAAGCAACCCTCCGGCACACACACGGCGGCTTCCTCACGAGGCTCACTTGCTATGCCTCCTCACTGGTCTAGCCAGGCCACCACTGTGAGTGAGGATGAGCGCACTGCCAGGTACTCCCTAATGTAGTTAGTATAGTTAATAAAGTTAGTAAAATTAGTAAAGTATAGTTAGTATAGTTACTAAAGTTAGTTTAGTAAGTTAGTATAGATAATAAAGTTAGGTAGTTTAGTTAGTACAGTTATTGAGTCTAGTTATACATTGGATTTAGTCTAATTAGTTGTTGTAGTTAGACTTGTATAGATGTTAATATTAGATTATTTAGTATAGTTATAGTTAGAATATGTATTAATATTACTATGGACATTACGTATGATGATTTCGATGACTTGATAAAGTTTTTTGAAATGCTTTTGCAGATGGATTGTTGTGTTAGAGTTTTATACGGAGGAAGTGTTAGGAGAGAAGATGGTATGTTTGAGGATATGGAAGAAGAATTGGAATGTTTTGATGAACCTCCTAGCTTCAACGACATTTGTGTCCGTTTGAATGCAAAGTTTGGCGGTGATTTCACACTGAAGGGGAGGTTTGATACTGGGAAGACTAGGGCACACTATGTCCTCATGCCCTTGCGCGACCCTGCTCACTGGTCCCGTTACACTAGGGTTCTCCAAGGTTCCAATGTGCCCATGGCTGAGGTAGTGGTGGAGAATGGGTACAGGATGCAGGGTGTTCAGGAAGGCCCGTCCATTGATGGTTTTGGAGGCAATGAACAAGAAATAGGGGGTCGAAGGAGAAGCAACTCAGGATAACATGGATTTGGACGGTCAGTTGATGCAGGAGCAGGTTCATTCAACTACAGTAGGCTGTATAAGCAATGACTTCGATGTGAATGAGTTCGAACGGTAAGCGGAGGAGCAGGAGGAGGAGGACATGATCAGTGATGTAGTTAGCAATTATTCAGACGATTCTGATGATGACCAAGGAGGTACAGATGCTATGCCAACACCGGCTGATGCCATGCCAGTATCGGTTCATACTATGCCATTACCAGTACCAACTGAGGTTTTGCATGGTGTCCAGACTCAGGGTAGATTAGTCATAGATTTGGCTGTAGATGATACCCCCTATGATTCATGGGCCAGAATTAGCGAAGTGCAGTAGTATGTTCCACCATCACCTTACACAGCGACTGAGCTTGAGCAACTAAGGTCCAAGAACGTACCTTTCAGGGGCGTTCCAAACTATAGGGATGTCAGCATGACGGATATGGCAGTTTGTGGCACCGGTCTCCAGATGTGTAGGAATTCATTGTATGATCATGAGAAAGAAACCCTTAGGAAGGGGATGATATTCAACACAATGTCAGAGATGAAACTCTTCCTTCAAGACTATGATGTGTACCACCATAGGCTGTACACCGTCACTCATTCGGACCAGGAGTTGAGGTACCACGTGATATGTAAAAATGGTTGTATGTGGAGGTTAAATACACGAAAGAGACAGAGTGATGGCAAGTGGGAGGATAACTAAAGTTGTCGAACCCCACACTTGCCTAGACAATAGGGGAAGGAAAATCATCAGCAGCTCACTGCACGTTACCTTGCCCATCGTATATTGGGGCTCCTTGATGACAATAACGACATTTTGGTGTCTTCTTTACAACAAATCCATATCTAGATTCGTTAAGTACAATGTGACGCATTTAAAAGGCTTGGCGTGCTAAAGCAAATTGCTCTGGCGTTTCGATGGGGTAGTTGGGAGGAAGCGTACAACAGGGTGCCCCGCATCTTATGTGCAATGCATTACTACAACCCTGGCTTGAAATGGTTTGTGGACACCGGAGGTATGTGTTTTCGGGACCCATTGAGGCATGTCCTCTATCGTGTGTTCGTCGTCACAAGCAAATAGAACATGCATTCCAGCTTTTGTCGGCCAACAGATTTTGTTGATGGCACTTTCCTAACAGAAAGTACATGGGCACCTTGATAATGGTCTGCTGCTGTGATCCCGAGGATCGATAGTATCCATGGCTTTTGCTTTGGCAGAGGGAGAGAACAATGAATCGTGGTCATGGTTCATGCGGCTTCTACGTGTACAAGTGCTTGGCCCAACTCGCACTATATGTTTGATCTCGCATCACACACGCAGGCTTCTTAATGCTACAAATGAGCATATAGATGGGTTCCGCCTTTTAGTACATAGATGGTGCATGAGACACTTTGCCGCTAATTTCAAGCGGGCGTCGGTGAAGTAGGAGGTATGTGACAAGGTAAAGGCTCTATGTTGTGTACGTACAGAGCACCAGTTCAAGGAGACAAAGAGAGAACTAGACAAGATGGTAAATGCAGCGGGAAAGGCCTGGTTAGAGGCGCAGATGGAATAGAAGGCTTAGTGGGCTTTAGCATATGACGAGGGGGGTTTTAGGTATGGCATCATGACCACTAACTCCTCGGAGTCCTTCAACCGTGTATTCACTGGAGTTCGATCATTGCCTATGTCTGGAATTGTTGAGTTCTCCTTTCATAAGTGCAACGAATATTTTGTGAAGAGGTGGGAACTTGCGCAGAGGAATATAGCTAAGCAGGGGCGTTTTGGGAAGGCCGGAGCTGAACATTTGAAGGAGGCCGAGGAATTGGCCAAGCAGCACACCGTCGAGCCGTATGGACCCCGCCGCCATATCTTTAGTGTACATGGCAAGGGTGGCACAAGCTTGGGCGGCGAACGTTATGGTGGACGAAACTACCGAGTTGATCTTGAAAAGGTAGAGTGCAGTTGCAATGTCCCTCAGATCATGCATGTCCCTTGCTCTCATATGATCACGGCCTGCAGGGTTCGCGGGTACAACTATGAGGATCTGCCATATATGTCACCCTTGTATCTCCATTCGAACACCGTTAGTATTTGGGAGATGAGCTTCGAGCCATACCTTGACCCGACACAGCGACCACCTTATAATGGTTATGACTACGTTCCGCATCCGGATCTAATGAAGGTAGGGAAGGGTAGGAGGAAGAAGAAGTGACTCAAGGGGGACATGGACGCTATGAGAGGGTACGATGAAGACGTGTACGGTGGGGGAGACTTCAACGAGACCCGTGGTAGGAATCTTTGCTCCGTTTGCAAACAATCTGGTCATAAGGCTAGCAGGCATAGAAGACGAGGGCAGCAGGTGATTTCATATTGTGTTCGTATTGCATAACAAGTAGTTCAAATTTTGCAATGCTACATAATGTTAATCTGAATATTGTTAATTTGAATACTCTAACCCTTTGTTTATCAATTTGTAATAGGATGACCTCTCCCACGCCACACCAGCTGTACCCCCTTCTTGAGGTGGAGTACGAGGTTTCCAAGAGGTGTTCGAGGGATCCATATATTCCTGGGACTTAGTTCATTACGTCGAACTTATGTCGAACGAATATTGTCCTAAAAAACTTGCAGACTCATAAATCAATGAAAATGTTATGTGGCAACTTATCGTCCATTTATTTGCTTCATATTCGTTTCAACTTGCGCACGGTCGCGGCAACACTTGTAGTTTTTTACAGCACCGTCAACCGCTCAATTGAGGCTGGCCGTTGTCTATCTGCGTCACTACCGCGCCGTGG